GGAGTCCGACCAGATGTCTTGCCTCCTCATTCCTGCTCTCCAGCCCCACTGCCCATCCTGATCTCCACCATTTGGTCAACACAAGCTATTAACACAAGTTACCCTGTATCAGTCAAAACTGACTCCTTTCCTCTGCCTGGCCATTGCCAAAGTTCAGGCCTTTCTCTGTAACAACCTCTGCTTACTTCGCGCTCACAGACCTCCTGTTTGTCTTCCACAGTGACACCAGTGCCATCAGTCAAAAATAGAAGTCACCAGGTTCCCCTGACCTTTCAGACCCCGCTCTGCACGCCCCCTCACACAAACCCCACATAATTCAGTGGCTGACAACCTGCATCCTCATGCCTGCTGTTATGCTGGCTGCTCAGGGGTCCTCTGCCCCCTCTCCTTTTATCGCCAATGGCTAACTTCACTGTATCTTTCAAGATTCAGCCCAAGTGTTGCCTCCTTTAAAGCATCTTCTATGGCATGAGGCCTCTCTGGTGGCTCAGAGATTAAAGTCTCAGCGCTATCAAGCTATCACCAGCCGCTGCCACATGAGTTCGATCCCCAGCCAGGGAGTTAACCCACATGGCGCAGCAGACCTCTCCTGTCTCGTCTGCTGCTTCCTATCAGTAGTGTATTTCAGTAGATCTGCCCGTACTGCTCTCCATTCTGTCCCTGGTGAATCCTCTTACCCCCTTCAACTCTGGCTTACACCCCAGTTCTTGTATGCATAAATAAAAAATAATTTTTAAAAAAGAATCTTCTATGGCAACCTATCTCCCATCTCATTCTGAGTGAGGTCCTTATCACAAAGTTTTATGATTCTGGATTTAATCATTCATCTGCACATATACCCTCACTGGACTGGAAGGTTCTCAAGTACAGGAGCTGGGTTCTTTGATGCCAGTGCAGTGCAGTTCACAATCGTGTTGTATAAGTTATTTTTCTGTAGCACAGTTTTATCACAATCTCTTTTCTTCTGTAAATTCTTGAGACAAAAAAAAATATATATATAAACTAAAGATTGTCTGGACAGTAAGATTTTAGCCAAAAAGAATTCGGCCAAAAGCAGTTAAAACCCCAAATAAAACTTAAATGTTCTAGAAGTGCTTCAGAAAACACTGTATAGTGAGGGAATGTTCTCTTTAAATGGTCTCATTAATCAGTGTTTGCAACAAATGTTTACTGATAGTATACTCTTTGCTGAACCCTAAAATAAATACTGGGCACTGAGGTGAGGAGTGAAACTAAGTCCTGTCTTCATGGGACTCAAGGTCTGGTGAGGGAGCAGACACTAAGTACAAAAAGACCAAGCAATGACAAAATATGAAGTACCAGTTAATTGATAAAGGCTGGGTATTGACACATCAATTACCAGCGAGCTCTATGTAGCTTGGGTCATCTGAGAGGGCCTCATGAATTATGGGAGAAGAAACCAGCCACACAAAGCACAAAGGTGTGCATGAGGTCCCAAGATGGATGGAACCTGGAGAAATGGAAAGAATGCCATTGTGGCCACACCTAGAAAGTGTGGGTGCCGCTGTAGGTGGGGGAGGAGGCGGGACTGTGCTGAGGCTGACCACCTCATATACAAAGCTAAGATTCCACTGGAAATGCAATGGGATGCCAGCTAAAGGTCTTATTCAGGGACCAAGATGTTTCATTTATATATTTTTTAAGGCATGTAAAGAATAGGACTCTAGGGCAAGGTAAAATGTTCTTAGATTTGGGGCCTCCCCGGTGGCGCAGCTGGTTGAGTGAAACACTGTGAAGCTGTCCGTAGCCTCTGCAGCGCAGGTTCGATTCCCGGCTGGACAGAGAGATTCCCACATGGCAGGGCAGGCCTCAGCATGGCAGGCCTCTCCTGTTGTGCCTGCTGCTCCCCTCAGCAGTGTATTTCGGTCATCTGCCTGTTCTGTTCCCCGCTCTGTCTCTGGTGAATCCTCTCACCCTCCCGTGCCTCTGGCCTGTACCCCAGCTCTTGTATAAAAATAAATAAATCTTAAAAAAAAAAAGTTCTTAGAGTTGATACCAAAAACATAGTCCATAAAAGAGTAAACTGATAAACTGGACTTCATCAAAAAACAAAACAAAACAAAACAAAAACAAAACAACAACTGTAGTTCAGCAAAATTCCTGTGAAATGGATGAAAAGCTACAAACTAGGAAAAGTATTTGTAAATCATGTGTCAGATATGGGTCTGTTGTTAAGAGCATAGTATGAACTATCAAAATTCAACAGTAGAAAACCCAAACAGTTCTATTAGGAAATGAGTGAAAGAGGGCCTCCTTGGTGGCCCAGGGGCTAAAGTCTCAGTGCTATCAAGCTATCGCCAGTCACTGTGGCATGAGTTTGCCCCGGCCAGGGAGCTAACCCACATGGCGCAGCAGACCTTTCCTTTCCTGCCCACTGCTCCCCTCAGCAGTGTGTTTCAGTAGATCATCCTGTTCTGCTCCCTACTCTCTCTCTAGTGAATCCTCTCACCACACACACCCCCCCATTTCTGGCCTACACCTCAGTTCTTGTATGCATAAATAAAAACAAACCTAAGGAAAAAAAAAAGGAATATGGGTGAAAGACCGGAACAGACAATTTACTAGGGAGGGTACACAGATGACAAATAAGCACATAAAAAATGTTCAAATTTTTGAATATTTGCAAGTTAACAAATACAAGTTAAAACACAATGGAGCATCACCACAAATGTAATTGAATGGCTAAAATTAAAAAGTGACCACACCAAATGCTGGTGAAGATGTGGACAAACTGGACCATTCATATATTGGTGATGGGTATGTAAAATGGTACAGTTGCTCTGGAAAAAATTGGCAGTTTCTTAAAAAACTAAACCTGCAACTACTATATGACTAAGCAATTTTGATTCTGAGTTTTTTCCTAGAGAAATGAAAACTGATGTTTACATAAAAAGCTGTATGTGAATGCATATAGCAGCTTTATCTCAGATGTTCTTCAATGGTGAAAGGTTAAATAAAGTGGGGTACAGATATTCAAAGGAATACTAGACAACAATGGAGAGGAAAAAACACTTGAATGAATCTCCATGGAATTACACTGAGTAAAAAATCAGTCCCCAAAAGGCTAGATATTGTATGACTCTGTTTATGTAATATTCTTTTTTTTTCATATGTTGAAATGGAGTTCTTTTTTTTTTTTTTTTTAAAGATTTATTTATTTATTTATACAAGCACTGGGTACAGTCAGAAGCACGGGAGGGTGACAGAATTCACCAGAGCCAGAGCAGGAAGCAGAACAGGCAGACTGACAAACTACACTGTTGAGTGGAGCAGCAGGCACGGCAGGAGAGGTCTGTCCTGCCATGTGGGACCCTCGCCTGGCTGCCAGAGATCAAACCGGTGCTGCAGAGGCTGCAGGCAGCTTTGCAGCCCAGCGCTCAACCGCTGCGCCACCAGGGGAGGCCCAATGTAATATTCTTGAAACAAAAAATTTTAGGAATCAAGAGCAGATTAGTGGTTGCCCAGAGTTAGGGAAAGAGAATGGAGGGAGGAAGAAGGGAAGGAGGTCTAGTCATAAAAGGGCAAAGAGGGATTATTATGATGATGGTGGAATAGCATAAAATGAAATTATATGGAATGAAATACACACACATTTTGAACATTGGCAAATTAAATAAATGTAGGTTAAAATCACAATAGAGTATCACTAAAAGTGTGTCCAAATAACTAAAATTAAAAAGTGACAACACTTTGTAGGAAAGTAAAACTGGGGAAATCTAATGAGGCTTGTGGATTAAGTCAATATCCTGGTTGTGATATTGTACTATAATTTTGTAAGGCATTCCCATCCGAGGAAAGTGGATAAAGGATACAAAAAGTCTCTCTGTTATTTCTTATAACTGCATATGAACTTACGATTAAATAAAGATTTCATAAAAATCTCAGGAAATTTTTAAATTTAAAAAAAAAGGCTCTCTGATGAGAATGGATTGGAGTTAGAATGGAACGGGGAGATCAGTTGAGGGGATTGCAATGGAGATAATAATGAGTTAGCCTGGGTGGGTGCTGGGAGAGAGTGGCAACAGGGCAGAAGAGAACTGGGTGTGATTTGGACTCGAGTCTATACCTATGACATTTGAAAGACATTTCCCTAGAGAGCTTCCTAAAGCCCCAACTTTGTAAGAACCATGATAACATAGAAAAATAATATTAGTATCAATAATGAAAACTTAACAGTTCATTGATAGAGCTTACTTCCTTTGGCCACAATAATAGAAAAACAAAAACTAAGTCAAATTATGAGTAGACACTGGCTCTTGCAGCAACTCACCTTCCTACCCACTTCTGGTAAACAGTACCAGGTACCAGGCCCTTGCTTCAGGTCCCACTGTTATCAGCCCAATCATCTGTGCCCAGGACCCAGGACCTGCCCCTCTCTCTTTATCTTAGATGACAAGGGGATAAGGAAAATGGCAAAGCCAGTCTTGCTTCCCATTTCCCCAGGCACCCCAGAGTTGCACAATCTCATACACAGCACACCCTATTTTCATTCCACATGTCTTCCATTCCATGCCTGAGATTAAATCCCATGCCTTCAAACTTACATACTTTGTACGTAGACCTCTGAGCCATTTTTACCAGAAATTTTAAATATCTGAATACCAAAAGACAACTTGGAGAAGTTCGCTACTGTTTCCATGTGAGAGAGTCTGTGGATTTCTCTGATGAGATAAAATGATTTTCCCCTGAAAGGTCTTCAGAGACATGAATAATAAGTATACGACCTCAACAATGTGCAAGCACCCAAAGATAGGATCTAACTCAAAGAATGCAAACTATAATTCTAAAGCAAATGTGAAAAAAAGATAAATAATAACATAAGGAAGATACATTTATCTATCTATACTTATTATAGTAATAAGATGTACCAAGCTGGGTAGCTGTGAAATTTTATAGATCGTGACTGTTTTCATGTCATTTGTACACTGTGATTTGAATTTCTAGGGAAGCACTGGACACCCCACAACTTGGTAACTTACATTGTGTTTTTCAGATATCAGGCTAGATGAGAGGGCTATGATGAGATCCAGAAAGTTCCTGGTAAAACTGAGGATAGTTCAACTACTAGAGGGGCCATGTTCCCTACTCGGCTGCAATCATAGGTGATCAGGCACAGACGACAGCAGGTATAGGATGCAAAGTCCCTGTGAAGCCACCAGGAAATACTACAGATGTCCAAAGATCAATTTTGACAGGCTAACAGATGACTTAGAGTTTTGGGAAATCTGAAACTGAAAAGAAAGTTCAAAAATGAGTCAAGTATTCAGATTCTTCAGAGTGGGATGAAATATCACATTTGAAATGGAGTGGGAGGTGATGGAGATATCAGGAATGAGAATCCTGGGGGAGAATGATTACATCTAAAAATAAACAAACAAATAAAACAGAAAATCACATTAGGTCCCTGAAAACACAAGAAAAAACTCTAAAATAAAAAATACATCATTAGTTTTGTGATAACTTGCAACTTTGTCTACTTTGTAAACATTGTCTTTGCGGTAACTAACATTGGTTTACAACACTGTCAATGACTTAGGGGTACACAAGTTCACACATCTTCAGATGTGTGTCACCACACGACACCTACCACAAGAGCAACCAAAATCCTCCACTATAGTCCACTTGGCCCCCTCTCACCTTTGCTACCCAACCCACACTCACCCCTTCTAATAACCTCAGTTCTGCAGTCATATTTCTAAGGGTTGTTTTGGTTTAGGTTTGTCTGTTCCTTTGTTTTGTTCACATACTACATATGAGCGAAATCATCAGATATTTGTCTTTCTCCTTCTGGCTAATTTTGCTTGGCATAATCCCTTCAAGTTCCATCCATAGTATTGCAAATGACAAACTGTCAGGACTTTTTGTTTATGGTTAAGCAAGTATAATGTTGTGTATACCACATCTTCTTTTTCCACTCATGTGTCTTTGGGCACTTAGATTGTTTCAATAACTTGGCTATTCTATCTTTACCTCTTGAAAAATGTACTTTAAAAAAAAAGATTTATTTATTTATTTATACAAGCACTGGGTACAGTCAAAAGCATGGGAGGGTGAGAGAATTCACCAGAGCCAGAGCAGGGAACAGAACAGGAAGACTGATGAAGTACACTGCTGAGGGGAGCAGCGGGCGCAGCAGGAGAGGTCTGTGTGCCATGCAGGACTCTCACTGGCGGCCTGGGATTAAAACAGCGCTGCAGAGGCTGTGGGCAGCTTCGCAGCCCAGCACTCAACCACTGTGCTACCTGGGAGGCCCTTGAAAAATGTATTTTAAAAAGATTTATTTTGCAGCATATGTGTAAGCAAAGATATTTACACAACTTTTTTCACTGTTTAGGTACTTGAGGCTACTGTTTTCTTTCTTTCCCCCTCTTTACCTTTCACTCAACTTCTTCCTCCTGCTCCTTCTTCTTCTTTTTGTCCTCATAGGAAAAAACTGTTTAGCATCATTTATAATTAAGAACATTTGTTAAAATGTTAAGTAATCACATCCTTCAAGTCCAAACTCACACTCCTTATTTTGTGAGGTCTTCCTAAGAGTTGGTGCCTTCCCTACTGTACCCCACTCTTCATTAGGTAGTAAACACTTGTTTCCTCATCTAACCCCTTCTTTTGTCCACAGCTGGAAACTCTGAGGGCATTTTTTTCACCTTTGTATTTCTAAGATTAAATGCTAAATGCACATATACTGAATAAAGAGAAACCAAGTGAAAAAGTACCAGAAGGATGGATATTAAATCATAAAGATTAGTAGCTCTTCTGGTCACATAATTTGCAAGGCTTCTGACAAAGTTCTCAAACAAAAGGCATCATTGGCCTCACTCATCATTTTATCATCATGTGCATGTTTGTTTCTAGGAATTACTGCTGAGCCATCTTTAACTAGCATGGCAGTGCTGAGCCTCTGTGTGACTATAGGATGAAAAGGTGCCAGAGATAGCCATCCCATCATGCTTCTTCAGCAGTTCACATATTGTCAGTGAGGAGAGAAACAAGTCCTCACCGTTGCAAGGCAAAAGTCATTACCTATCCCAAGCATTGCTTATAGTTGACAGATTCCCCTAAAATCTCTGTGGGGGAACTTGTCCAGACAAAGATATTCAAAATATGAAACATAAAAGCTATGAAATACATATACACATATACAATCTCAAACTTAGAGAAAATTTGAAAGAACAGGAAAAGAACTGCTTTTCTTACCCATTTGAGAATAAATGGCTGACATTATTGCCCATTATACGTCAGTACTTTACTGTGCATTTCCTACAAATGAAAACGTCCTGTATGACTATGACATAGCCATCAAAATCAGGAAATTAGTATTAATACTCTAATCTAATACAATTCCAGACTCCATTCATGTTCCTCCAGTGGTCCCAATCATGTACTTAAAAAAAAAAAAAGAGGTTCAAGTGCAAGATTCTAAATCCAGATCTTGCAAAGCACCATACACCACATTTTGTTACCATGTCTCTCCTTAGTGTCTTTCCATCTGCTACAGTTCTTGGTCTTTCCTTGACTGTCATAACCATATCACTATAGATGTTTACAGGCCATTTATTATGAGAATGTTCTCAGTTTGGGTTTGTCTGGTGCTCCCTCATGATTAGGAACATCTTAGGCATGAAGATCACAGAAGTGATTATGATCCTATTCAGGTGACACATGATTTGCAATTGTACCATCACTGTTGATGCTAACTTTGATCATTTGTTTAAGGCCCTATGTGCTAAGCTTCTCCACTGTGAAATTACTCCCCCCTTTTAATTAATAAATATTTTGTAAGGAAGTCTTTGAGATTGTGTATGTATCGCCCTTTATTTAATTATTAATTTATTCATTAATATTTTAATATCTGTTTGAAGTCATGGTTTCCTGTTTTATTCAATGCACCATAGTCTGCTACTATGATTACTGATTTTGATGCTTTTATTGTCCCAGGTTTTTCCAGTGAAAAGCCTGGCAAGGTGTTCTCGGTATTGCCAATCATTCTTTGAACACTTCTTTATTTGGGGCTCAACAAGAGATTCAAGGTTTATCTTGTATTTTCCCATGCCCAGTACCAAAGTCAGTTGGCTCTCCAAGGGGCTCTGAAGAAGATCTGGATACTACAGTACTCAGTAGCATGGGTGCCACTGCTCTGATACCCACTCTCTTAGTGGACAAAACTAGAGATATATGTATTCAAATATCTATCTTCTGTCTGTCTGTCTATCAATCTATTTACCCTCAATTTTGCTGGGTAGGGCAAATAATGGGCTCTCAAAACGGACATCAATACAACTTTAATGGCTTCACTGTGAAAAGACTAAAATTTTAGGCTTACTCATTTGCTTTTATTCCTTCTGGCAGCCTGGATGTAATTTTATAGTTGCCATTTTGTATTCTTTCTCTTACAAAATGCCTCTCAAATTGTAAAAAAAATATTCAGGCTCACAAATTCTGGATTTGTCCCGGCAAGGGAAAAATGGTTAAATCAGAATGAAAACTGACAATGAAAGGAGGTAATTTTCTAGGGAACTTTCCAGTTACCAATGTATAGAGGTGCAAGGAGGTTGAATTAAACTTCAAAAATTTGTATAGGTTACTTAGAGAATCAAAAGAGATGGGTGGTCTTGAGAGTTAGTTTGTGCAGACCATATAAATTTCAAAGTTTTTCTGACTCATATACAGAGTATTTCTATAATTCCCATGTGATCAGTTCAGTGATATGATTGATCGCTTTCTAAAGGAATATTCAATTAATTCTATCCAAAAATCATACCAGCTTTTCTTTAAGATTCCTTTCTTGATTTTTTAAAAATACCACCAGTTCTTAATTAACATATTCTTTTTTTGCTAGGGTGTAGTATACTTGGCTAGGTAATAGTTTTTAAGACTCTTCCACTCTTGTTGCCCCTTGATAAAGCAGATCCCTAATTTCTTCAATTTTATATTCATAGGTCATTTTTTAAGGTACATTAACTTTATCACCCACCTATTGATTTGCTGTTCCCAGTTTAGTTCTCTGAAGCTCATCTTGTTTCAGGTTATAGAGTCACTTCTGTTCTCCCCAAGCACTGACTGGCATAGTCAATGGCAGCATGATATTAAGTCTTGAAATTGTAAACACAATTTGAAATTGGTAATAATTCTGTAATTTAAAAATTGGAGGGAAAATCTTATAGAAAACAGACTTCTGTAAAAGGGTTCTCCCTTTATCGCATTTACTAGAGAAAGCTTCTAGAAAATCTCAAATCTAGAAGACCCAGTTAATTTATGAAGACAGTATAAACAGAATACCCACAAATAAGAATATCCACAAACACTCAAAAGACTATTCACAAGTATCAAAAGAATCTTTTAAATGCAATTTCAAATAATGTAGATAAATTTTATTGCTGACAACTACTGCTTTAGCTATAAGGCACAGTTATTGGAGATAACCCCCAGAGGTGATGTCTGAAAGATACTAATAATAACCATGATGGGGGCCTACCTGGTGGCACAGGGGTTAAAAACACAGTGCTATCAAGCTGTCGCCAGTCACTGCAGCACCAGTTCGATCCTCCCCACTACCCCGCAGGCCAGGGAGCTAACTCACATTGTTCAGCAGACCTCTCCTGTCTAGCCTGCTGCTTCCACTCAGCAGTGTATTTCAGTAGATCTGCTTGTTCTGCTCCCCAACTCTCTCTGGTGAATCCTCTCACCCCTCCCCCACACTTCTAGTTACACCTCACTTTTTATATGCATAAACAAACAAATCTTTAAGAATAATAATAACAATGGCTGCCATTTACTGAAAACATATCATGAGACACTCCCTAGGATGGCACTCAATATCTACACTTTAGAATTGAAGAAACCGAGGTTCAGAGAGGCCTATCTAAGATTTTATGGTTAGCAAAAAGAAGAGTTACAATACAACTCATTACTCCACAGAGGCTAAACAAGGATTGGGTGTGGGAAGTAGAAATTTAGAGAAACAAAGGCACCCAAGGACAGCCAGGATGATTCAGCTAGAGGGCCGAACTGAGGTGGAAAGAACTGAGGGCGATGAAAGCAAAAAGAGGGGTCAGCTGGCAGCTGAAAGAGGGGTTCTGAGTTGGTGCGATAAGCATGTAAAAGAATTAAGCAAGGGAGTGTTTCTCTTTTCATTTTTCACACAGCATTTTGCAGACCTGAAATCTAAAGATCTGATGGGAAAGGAAGAGTCTTTGCAACCAGCAGCATCATTAAAGAAGTTGACACATATGGATATTTACTTATCATCTAGGAGGTGCCTCTATAAACAGTAAACAAATGTAGGAGCAAGATAGTGACAGTTGCTGTAAGTGCTATGAGTGCAACAAACAGGGTGACAATAGAGAACCTGGTAGGGGGAACCAACTTTAGATAGGGGGATGTTGGCCAAACAAAATACCTTTCAGCCACTCCTGTTCACAGGAAGAGCAAATACTACTGAATCTCAGTAATTTTTTCTGGTTAATTATGTAGGTTGTTTTATTTATGTATAAATACATTAAACGATAAAGGTGTCTCATACTTTTGCAGACATATTTCCTCATACAAAACTAGCTAGAAGGGAAGTGTCCTTGAAGAGTATTTCAAAGAATATAAACTGAATTCAAAGTCTATGATTTCATAGGGAAATTTCCAATTAAAAGGAAATGTTTGGAATTCATTTTGAAAGACTGAGAGAAAGGTGGTTTATAAGGCAATGTTTTCTTTTCACAATAAAAATATTATTTGAAACTGCTGGTTTCACTAGAATATTTGTTAGTGAAAGTTGTGCTGTTAAAGAATTATTCCAGGGTACCTGAAATTCCTACAAACTCAAATGCCCCTATTGCATGTAACCTGAAGGAAACTGTCTTTAGAGAAGCAAAACACCCTCAGATGTTTGATACTGGGTGCCCCATGTTCACACTTAAGAAAATTTTGAGTAAATCAGTAAGATCCACTCATTCTTAAATTATCACTCATTTTTAAAATAGCAATGACATTAAGGTTATAACAACAATAGGGAAAAAATAGCATAGGTAGCTACACCTCATAATTAAAGCAGCTTAAGTTTCAGGCGCACTCTAAGGCATTTGCATGACTCCTATAAGGTCCTACCAGGGGCCCTAGCAATATATTCTGAAGGTCATTTTTTTTTTTAAGATTTATTTATTTTTATACAAGAGCTGGGGTATACGCCCGAGGCACGGGAGGGTCAGAGGATTCACCAGGGACAGAGCAGGGAGCAGAACAAGCAGGTGACAGAAATACACTGCTGAGGGGAGCAGCGGGTGCGACAGGAGAGGTCTGTGGCACCATGTGGGATTCTCGCCGGCTGGCAGGGATCGAACCTGCGCTGCCGAAGCTGCGGACAGCTTCACAGCACGGCACTCAACCCACTGCGCCACCGGGGAGGCCTGGTCATATATTTCTGAAAACTTAAGAAATTCAAATTCTATTTCTTAAAGAATATAGTTTATAGTATACACCTCAGACTCTAATCTTTGATCTGTGGTCCACAATTTAGCTGATGGCAGCGCCATTTCCATGACACTTAAAGTAATATAGGAAAGGCCTCCCTGGTGGCACAAGGGGTTAAGTGTCAGCACTATGAAGTTATCCACAGACACTGAAGCACCAGTTCAATCCCCAGCCAGGGAGCTGACCCACATGGTGCAGCAGACCCCCCCTGTCTTGCCTTTCCTTGTCACTCCCCTCAGCAGTGTATTTCAGTCAGTCCTTCTGCTATGTTCCCCACTCTGTTTCTGGTGAATCCTCTCACACCCCCCACACCTCTGGCCTACACCCCAGCGGTCATGGCAAACAATCTATAATGTTCACATAGGATAACATTAGGAGCTACGAATGAAAAAGTAGGAGCAAGAGTGTGGTGTCTGGAGTTCCAGGACAGGGATTCTAGAAACTATTTCAGCTGTTCTTACAGCAGAGGATTAAAAATAAGTACTGCTTTAGAATGGCAATTGTGCATGGAACTGGAGTTGGTAGAGACTGGACGGTCCTAGGGATCTGGGCCCAGGTGGTGGCAGCAGAATGAAAAGTAAGGAGTGGTTCTGAGAGACATGGGGAAAGAGTCAGAGGAACAAAACTGATTTGGATGTGCCAGCCAGCGGGGTAAGAAAGAGCCCACATTACCCTGTGTTGGATGAAGAATTAACAGTGGTAAAAATCAACGAGAGCTCAAAGGGAAGACTGCCTGTTTTAGGAAAGAGAAGTTTGGATTTGGTTTCATTACCTCTGAGATGCTAGTTAGTTCAAACACTAGAAATGCCTTGTTCTTTGCTACTCAAAAGTGTCCCTTAGAGCAACAGCATCAATTACCTAGGAGTTTATTATAAGATGGCACCAGTCTAGTCCAAAGACACATATTGTAAATCTGCACCTGGAACACCCTGGCTCCAAAGAGCTAAGGAAATCACCAACCTTCCTCTACTCCCGAGGCCAAGCTGAGATTTAGAAATAGTAGTGTAGATGTGACTGCTGCAAAGTTTCTGCAGGAAAAATAGATTTCTAAAGCTGTGTGGGACCCTTTAAAAACTTCTGCCATAAAGACTACTGAAGCCAAGCAAACACCTGTGGGCCATGTGTACAGCTGTCACTGCCAGCTGACTCATCTGCTCATCCCTCACTTGCATCACACATTTTCCTCTGTATTTATGAGCAACGATAATAACATCAGAGAAAATAACTTACAGAAGTTTTAATGAACTTGTCGTACTGAAAGAATGTGGGTATAGACAATATGTGAGAATCCGGGTGTAACACCATAATTATAAAATCAGTATCTCATTCTCCAAGACTCTCCATGTTTATAAATACCACTGTTTCCTTGTTAATCACATAAATCAGTTCTCAAGTTCACCACAAGACAGACATCTGTGAAGAAGAAATTTCCCAATCTCAAGAAAAAAATAATCATAACTATGACATTTTCTAACAATACATATAAATGCATAGAAAATGCAATTTATATAAATGTATAGAAAATCCTTACCTTTTCTTAGTTCTTTAACTTCTCGGTTAGCTATTAGAAAAGAGTTTACATAACAATGCAATATTTTGTTTACAAAACAATACAGCTTTCCCCCACTATCTGAAAGTATAGCATTCCTATGAAATCTTTAAGTGAAAATGTCATAAATCAAAGAAGCAAGTACCATTAATTTGTATGGAGGGGTCTCCCTGGTGGCACAAGGGGTTAAGCACAGCATTTTGAAGCTATCTGAAGCCTCTGCAGCATGAGTTCGATCCCCCGCTGGCCAGAGAGCAACCACATGGCACAGCAGACCTCTCCTGTCTTGCCTGCTCCTCCCCTCAGCAGTGCATTTCAGTCAATCTGCCTGTTCTATTCCCTACTCTGTCTCTGGTGAATCCTCTCACCCCCAAACACTCTGGCTTGTACCCCAGTTCTTGTATGCATAAATAAATGTTTTAAAAAATTATATAGAAAGTTTTTTTTAGCATTCCCAGACTCAAAAAATGACCCACAAAATCATCTAAATAATTCATAAACCTAAAATAATACTGACATGCAATAAAAACAGAATGGGTATGATATATTCACCACCTGTGTAAACTAGAAATGAAACAGTGTAGTTTTAATTTACCAGACTCATGAAGACAGGGAGGGCTGGGAGGTGATGATGATGTGTGTTAGGCAAGGTTGTTACAGATTGGGGTAGAGTGATGTATAGGAGGCTGGGGTATAGGATAGAGAGGAAGAGGATCATTTGTTAACATCTCATCATCCTCTGAATCCATCAAGATATACAGGTCACTAACTTCTTCACTTACTATGTCTGATGCCTCCATGTCAAAGATCAGGTTTCCTTTCTGCTGTGACTGATGTGGATGGTGTGGAAGTTTCAAAATACAATGGTGGATGGTATGGAAGGCTCAAAATACAATAGTATACTTGACAGATTAACCTCGTGTAGTTTTCTATCACACAATTCTTGGTAGGGCACAAAACATTCTGCAAATCTGCCCTAAACCTACGTGCCCTTCAAAATTAAAGCCATAATTTTCTGCAATCAATGTAGCATGTTAAGTGCAGTGAAAATCTCACATTGTGATTCACTCTCAGGCCAGATGCCATTGCATTCGATTTCTAATCTTGCAATTCTATCAGCTCTTCATCTGTCAGAACTTGGTCATGTTATGAAAAAACTTTTGCAACATCATTTTTGTTAACTTCCATTCCTGCTGAGATGTCAAATGCAGTTCTCAGGGAAGGATCTTGTGGGGCTACTCTCACTGCTTTTGATGCACAGTACCTCTGGAACGACTGCTACAAAACAAACACTGATAGATATTTTCATTTATTGCATAAAAGTGAAAATCCACTTACTTTGGAGAAAATAGGTATGGATGTTAAGTCTTTTGTAAAAGCAAAGTGGCTTAACATGAACTCTCTAAAATCAGGGGACACCTTTTAAATACAATTGACTCTCGACAAAGTTTTGTCCATGTTTTGTTGAATTTCCTGTATGCAGAATGGAAAAGTAAATGGACATGAGCATTTTAACCCCATGATGTTCAAGGGTCAACTCTACTTGCAAACATGGTTTGATATGTCCGATGAATGTGGTAGGAAGGGGTTTTAGGTATTTTGACCCGATAAAACTAAGTGAAATAATATGTGCAATAGAATCTGTAACTAGTAAAAGCCATATCATAATAAGCTATACTATGATCGGAAATCTCACACTGGTGACTTTTGGGCTAAAACCTAATTGGTCAATTCTTTTGAATATTTATTGTGTGCAAGAAATTTAATTAGGCATTGCACATATATAAATCTTTTATAAATACCTTAAAATCTTAATTTCATATATTTCCTGGATGTTCATACTTACCTGAAATCCTCAGTGAGTGGAGGAAAAATAGAAGTGTCTTTCATTTGTAGAATGTGCAAAAGCAGTTGTTTACCAATGATGTGAGTTTTATTTATTTATTTTTTATTTAAATATTTTATTTTATATAATTCTTATATCTTTTTTCATCTTTGCACAATGTATGCATTTTCATTTTGGTTATATTCCCCATACAACTGCACCCCCCCCCCTATTTTGACTCTAGTCCTTCCTTTCCCCTCCCCCACATAGTGTGTTTCTGGTTTATAGTTGCTTGTTGATTTTGATTTTTACTTTGTATTGATTTGTCTTTTTCCTGGTCTCTTATTTAGGTTTTCTAAATTCCTGCTATGAGTGAGACCATCCGGTATTTTTCTTTTTCTTTCTGACTTATTTCGCTGAGCATGATCCCTTCTAGCTCCACCCATGTTGCAGCAAACTGCATGTGTTTATCTTTTTTGATTGCTGAGTAATATTCCATTGTGTATATGTACCACATCTTCTTGATCCAGTCATCTATTTTTGGGCATTTGGGTAGCTTCCATAGCTTAGCTATTGTAAATAGTGCTGCTATAAACAAAGGGGTGCAGGTGCCCTTTGGAACTACTGTTTCTGTGTCATTTGGGTAAATACCTAGGAGTGGGATTGCTGGATCATATGGAAGTTCCATGTTTAGTAGTTCAAGAAATCTCCACAAGCTCTCCATAGTGATTGGACCAGTTTGCACTCCCACCACCAGTGCAGGAGAGCTCCTTTTTCTCCACAACCTCGTCAACATTTGTTGTTGCTAGTTTTTTTGATATGTGCCATTCTCACTGGTGTGAGATGATATCTCATTGTAGTTTTGATTTGCATTTCCCTGATTACAAGTGATGTTGAACATTTTTTCATATGCCTGTTGGCCATTTGCATTTCTTCTTCAGAGAAGTTTCTTTTTAGCTCTTCTGCCCATTTTTTGACTCAATTATTTTCTTTGTTTTTGTTGATTCTCATCAGCTCTTTGTAGATTTTTGTAATCAGTCCCTTATCAAGAGTGTTGTGTGCAAAAATTTTCTCCCAGTCAGTGGGTTTTCTCTTTGTTTTGGTTATTGTCTCTTTTGCTGTGCAGAAGCTCTTTAATTTGATGTAGTCCCAGCTGTTTATCTTTGCTTCCACTATCACTGCTTTGGGTAATGTGTCTGTAAAGATGTCTTTGAGGTGCATGTCAGGTAGTGTTTTGCCTGTATTTTCTTCTATGTATTTTATGGTTTCAGGTCTTATGTCTAGTTCTTTAATCCATTTTGAGTTGGTTTTCCTCATGGATTGCAAGAATTAACATCATCAAAATGGCCATCCTACCAAAAGCAATATACAGATTCAATGCTATTCCAATAAAAATTTCAATGATATTCTTCAAAGAAATAGAACAATTATTGATGAAATTCATATGGAATCACCAAAAACCCCAAATAGCCAAAGTTATTCTGAAAAAAAAAAAAAGAAGGGAATGGAGGCATCACACTCCCAGACTTCAAACTATACTACAAAGACATAATCATCAAAACTGCATGGTATTGGAACAAGAATAGACAAACAGACCAATGGAATAGAATAGAAAATCTAGAAATAAACCCACAGATTTATGGTCAACTAATATTTGACAAAGGAGCAAAGAATATGCACTGGAACAAAGAAAGTTTGTTCAATAAATGGTGCTGGGAAAACTGGGTCGCTACATGCAAATGATGTGAGTTTTAAGAGTTGTATAAAGGAATGTTGCTACTCCATGAATGGCTTCCCTCAGTGTCAGAGCTATTAGCATGTATAACATGAAATTGCTGTCCAAAGTCAAACTGGTATTTGACCATCATTATTGGACAAATATTGGTAATTTCATATAGTTCAGCCTATACTATAATTAGGCAATTTCTAATGGGTCACCCTCTGCTGTAACTAGACAACAAAGTAGAGAGCAAAAGCAAAGGATGTACATGCAGATTTTTTTTTCCTTCATGTGACTGGTCTTCAAAGTAGAGCTGTCTCTCTAATGTATTACTACACAGACGTTTTTAATGACAACTCTGAAACTTGACTGCCAAGAAAGAACCTAAATTTCATGATGAGCTGCTGGCTAGAGTGCCCTTGTCTGATAATTGCTTCAATCATCAGAAAAAAGTTGACAGATAGTATGACAGGGTGGAAATGAACCCCACAGGAAAAAAAATTCTTGTTTGTTTCTTTAGCTGACTGGGAATGTATATGTGAAGTTTGACTTACTGATTATACCTTCTTTGAACTGAAACTCTAAAAACCTAAAATGCAACTACCTAAGGGTAAATGACTATCTCATTGTTTATAACTCGATGCCAAAAAAAAAAAAACCTGACCTGACATAAATAAGAAACTAACTATGTTTATTTTCAAGATATCTTATTTTATGTAATCAAATTTTGAATGCATGGCCAGCTTATTCCACTGACCTCAGGGCTAATTTTGAATAATGAGAGTATAATGGGATGAAGCTCTTCAACACTTACAGGAAAAAAATGGTGTTAACTAGGAGGCGTTCTTTTTTAAGGTGATTAATACATCACATTTTATTTTTATTTATTTGTTTTTCATTTATATAATACATACCATTTTAAATGCTTTTATAAAATCTTAAATGATTAGATAAGAACCAACAAAGACAGGTAAAATTTAATTCACCAATAGCCTCCAAGCAGATTTCTTCCAAATTAAAAAAAAAAAAACAACTGAATAATAAACAAAAAATTAAATATGGTGACATGGGGGCCTCCCTGGTGGTGCAAGGGGTTAAGCACCACACTATGAAGTGATTCGCAGCCTCTGCAGCATGAGTTCTATGCCTGGCCGACCAGGGAGCAACTCATATGGCGCAGCAGACCTCTCCTGATTCCCCCGCTGCTCCCCTCAGCAGTGTATTTCAGTCAATCTGCCTGTTCTGTTCCCCACTCTGTCTCTGGTGAATCCTCTCACCCCCCACATCTCTAGCCTGTACCCTAGCTCTTGTATGCATAAATAAATAAATCTTTTAAAAAAATGGTGACATGGTTAGTGCTTATCTTAGAGCAATCCTGCAAAAATAGCACAGTGCTAAATAAATAGTATTCAAAAAGTTTAGCTATTACTACTACTAGCACTACTGCTTTTATCATTGACTATGTAGAACTGTCTTTGAAATAAGGTTTTTTTTAATTTTTAAATTTTTTTTAAAGATTTATTTTATTTATACAAGAGCCGGGGTACAGGCCAGAGAGGATTCACCAGAGACAGAGTGGGGAACAGAACAGGCAGACTGATGAAATACACTGCTGAGGGGAGCAGCGGGCAAGACAGGAGAGGTCTGCTGGCCATGTGGGTTGCTCCAAGGCCGGTGGGGATTGAACCAGCACTGCAGAGGCTGTGGACAGCTTCATAGTGCTGCGTTCAACCACCAGCACCACCAGGGAGACCCCTGAAGTAAGTTTATTTTTATCTGTTCATAGGTGTTAAATTGGTTACAGGTTTCTTTAGTCAAGTTGGGATTATAGAATTAACCATGCAAGTGTATTTAATATGCTTCATACTTACGTATTGCTATAGTCAACTCTTGCAACTGAATTTATGGAAAACTAGAACCTGAAAACCTGGATTTGAGTATGGGCTGTGTTACTAATGTTAACCAACAAGAAGTTGGCAAAAATCCATGAACCTTAGTTTCCTTATCTGTAAGCCTGTAGCAATAATAATAGCTAATGTTTTGATGCTCCCTACATGTCAAAGACATTTCTAAGAATTTTATGCCCATGAACTCAGTTACTAATACTTCACCCAACATCTAGCATTAATTTAATAAAAGGAGGAGTGAGCTGGTCAGTCTTCATTTGCCTTCCAGTACAGGTCAGGAAATTGACCCTTGTAGATGAGTCTTGGGGCTCCCTGACAACCCAACCCAGTTGGGTTCAGACATCATCAGCAAGAGATCAGTGTAGGAGGAAAGAAAGGTTGGGGTATCTCTTCCCTACTTCCTCTTTGATTTGGCAACCTTGTTGTAATTTGTATATGTTGAGGGGGAGGGATTGCAAGTGCCTCTTTTCCATAGCTCCTCTTCTGGCTGCGCTTGGTAAGTAAACATTATATCCTTCTCTAGCTTCTTCAGGCCCCTGATGGTAATGACTTCCTGCTGTTGCTAGTCTCTTGGTACCTCAACATTCCACTGATTCCCTCTACTACCTTTCCACCTCTCTGTAAAGAGTTCCTTCATTAAAGTGTCTTGATTTGAGCCCTGTGAGTGAAATGCACTTTCTTGCGGGGATCCTTACCTCTTAAAGGATTTACTATTGTTACATGTCAGTCAACTATTTGTTATTTAGTATCAGAGTATCTTAAACAGAGTCCTTATTTTTTTTTTTAAATATTTATTTATTTATACAAAAACCCAGCTACAGGCCAGAGCACGGGAGGCTGAGAGGATTCCAGCAGAGACAGAGGGGAACAGAACAGGCAGACTGACGAAATACACTGCTGAGGGGAGCAGCAGGCAAGACAAGAGAGGTCTGCTGCGCCATTTGGGATTCTCGCCCGCTGGCCGTGATCTAACCTGCATTGCAGAGGCTGTGGACAGCTTCACAGAGCGGC